ACTAGTAAACTTGGCCGAGTTGGTGAAAGAAGCCTCAAGTTTCATGATTCAAGTGGGGTGCCATCCAGTCCAGTAAGAAGGGAAGTTGGCAGGTCTGCTTTCTATACGAAGCTTTTTGTTCCTTTCCTTGAAGTGTCTATTTTCAAAGATGAAACTAGAACTACAAAGTCATCATGTCCTTTCTGCTAGTACAAGTATAGATAGTTATATCTTTACTGATGTAGGACAGCTAACCTTACAACCACAATTATTCTATAATATGGAGAAATAGAGGAAAATATAGGAAAGATAATAAAAGAATAGACAGATAGAGGGAAAACTGGATAAAGGTGAAGACTTTACAAGGAAAGAAGACTATAGGCAGGCATGAAGAATAGGAGAGACAGAAAAATACTAGATAGAAACATGAAATAACTTCACAAAAAAATTTCAATTCTAATCTTAACATAAGATGTTGGTTAGAAACCATGGGTTCTAACCTCAACTAAAAAGGAAAATAACTTATAGGAAAATAAATTCGAAGTTCCCAAAAATTCTTAATTAATTAAATAACTCAATCTCCTAAAAAGTATTATTTCTTAACTAGAAAAATAAGAACAAATCTCTAAAATGTCTTATAATAAGTCTTTTTATTTAGACTTGGACAGTTTTGCATTATTTTCCTCTTCTTGGAAAGAACTTGACACCAACAAATTAGAATAGAAATAAGCATCTAAGGATGAGATTCAAGGTGCATGAAAATTTTTATCAATCCAAACAAAAATAGACTTGGGTGATCTTTCTACTTAGCAAGGTACTCCAAATTGACTTGAGGTGGTAATAATATTCATGTCTCATATGGCTATAATCTCACTCATCGGCGGTGACATAAACTCGGATCTAGCATGGCTTGCCCAAATATGAGAACATTAAAGCAAGAGGCTCCAAGAAACTCAATAAGGTGATAACTTCCCAACTGCAAGAACTTGGTCAAATGTTCATTTAGTACATCAAGAAGATACATAATAGGTCCAAATTTTTGAAGGTTTGAGAATTGATCAAGGAGGCGTGATTGCAACAAGTTTGTTTAACCATCACAAATTCACCAACATGAAAAGGCTTTTAATAAGTGAATCAAGAATAATAGGCTCTTGGGTTGCTTGTTATATGTGAGATGTTACCAAAGTATGGTGGGTGAAGGGACGTAATCACAAGGTATAGTAGCATGAACCTATAGAGACTCTTTAGGATCACTAAGAGGACTATTTTGGGAGGCAACAAGGCAAATAGTGATCCCATTATTTCATTATCTAATTCATTTTTGCATTATCTAAGCTAATCATAGACTGGATTTAATGGATTTGCCTCTCTTGAGTGGCAAGTGGACTTGGTTTAATCAAAGACCCAACCTGGCATGCTCTATAATTGATACGTTTTTGGTATCGGTGCCTTGTTAGTTACAAACAATGGATCTGTGCCAAAAACTTTTTCAACAGACTATTTTGGATCACTTCCCTATTTGTTTAGTTTCTAATGGTATTAAGTGGAGTCATTGTCTTTCCAAATTTGAGGATAAGTGGTTGAAAGTGAGTGGCTTCTGTAAGGTCCATGATTGTGAAGTGGAGCAAGAATAGATGGCAAGACTGATTTAAGAGTTGCGTAGAAATTGATACTAGTGAAGCTGAGATCAAGAAGTAGTGCAAGGAGGAGGAGAGGAGAGATAATATGCATACATTACCTTTACTCCAGGAGATCAAGTCCATTGATAAGAGGGAGAGAGAAGAGGCTTTGTCTAGTAAAGACTTGACTCGAAAGGAATCTTTAAAGTTTGAACTAGCTATTATTTTATAAATAAAGGAGACATCTTGGAGATAGAAATCAAGAGCTCGAAGATAGAGAAAGGGGACAAGAACACAAGATATGTTCATTGTATGACTGATCATTATAGGAGAAATAATTACGTGGAGGAAGTAGAGATTTGGTGAGCGGGAAGTGAAGCGTAACGAGCAATGGAAGCAGGAGGTTAGAGATTCTTCTACAGGTTATACCACGAGAATTTTGGATGGAGATCTTTGAGGAATTCAAGCTGAGCAAAAGGGATAAACTCCTGACCCTGATAGTTTTAACATGAGTTTTCTCCAAACGTGTTAGCATACAATGAAAAAAGATATTTTTAACATCTTTAAGAAATTGCACAAATTTAGACCCTTTATTAGATCCTTAAATTTTTCTTTCTTGATACTCATTGCTAAGCTGAAGGCAGTTGATATCAAAGATTTCAGACCAGTCAACTTAGTTGGTAGCATTTATAAGCTCATTGCAAAGATATTAGTTAGAAGAATGTCCAAAGTAATGGATAAAATGATAGGTGAATGCTAGCATGCTTTTGTGGGAGGTAACCAAATTCTTGATGCAACGCTTGTTGCCAATGAGGTGTTAGATGTTTGTTATATTAAAAGAGAGAAGGGGTCCTATGCGAGTTAAATATGGAGAAAGCATATGATAATGTGAATTAGAGTTTTCTGAATTATTGGCTAAGGAGAATAGGATTTTGGGGTAAAATTGTTTAGGTAGATCAAATGGTTTAGGTAAAATGGTTTAGTTAGAAGAATGTCCAAAGTAATGGATAAAATGATAGGTGAATGCTAACATGCTTTTGTGGGAGATAAACAAATTCTTGATGCAACGCTCGTTGCCAATGAGGTGTTAGATGTTTGTTATGTTAAAAGAGAGGAGGGGTGCTATTCGAGTTAGATATGGAGAAAGTGTATGAGAATGTGAATTAGAGTTTTCTGAATTATTTGCTAAAGAGAATAGGATTTTAGGGTAAAATGGTTTAGGTAGATCAAATCCTGCATTACCAATACATCCTTTACTATCATAATCAATTGTGGTTCGTCATCTTTTTTCAAGGTTTATAGAGGTCTTAAACAAGGAGATCCTTTATCTTTGTAACTTTTTATTGTTGTTATGAAAATATTGAATAAAATATTAATAAGAGATAGGGAGTTGAAATTATTTAGAGGGCGTAAAGTAGGTGTAGGGGACCACATTGAGGATGTAACCCATTTATTTTTTCCTAATGATACTTTGTTATTTCATGAACTGGATGAGCCGGCAATGCTTAACCTCAAGTGTATTCTATTGGGTTTTTAAGCGGTTTTTAAACTCGATATCAATTTGCCCAAGTTCGAGTTAGTAAGATTGGGTAACGAGAGAGACGTTGATAGGTTGACAAGGGTCATGGACTGTAAGGCTATGAAATTGCTGATCAATTATTTGGGTTACCAATTGGG